TATTTTTCACTTCTCTAAATAAGGTAATGATTTATTAGCAAGCCGCCGAGGAATTAGTGAAGGGATTATAGAAGTGCGGCTTTGGAGCCATAACAAAGCCGGGCTTCTTAGCCGCGTTTTCCGAGCCGCCGTTGCCACCGCCAATCCTTTCACACGAAGGGCACATAGTGAGCGTGGCGGCGGGAAGCTGCATGTACAGAGGCTGAGCCGATTTCAGAGCCTTCAGCTCCTGAAGCTCCTTCTGCAGCCGATGGTTCTCATCCGTCAGCGTCTCACAGCATTTCTTCAAAAACTCGCAGTCCACCTCTGTTTGCTTCAGCTTTGTTCTGTATTAATTAACCCAAATTATTACAAAAGATATAAAAAAAATAAACGAATCATTTTCAGTTTAATGATTAAATAATAAATATTAATCAATAGATTCATAATCATTTTTTATTTTAAAAACTAATTAGCGTCCACACATAACTAATTAGAGAGATGCTATGGTCTCGCTATGGTCCCGTTACATAATTATTTCGACAGATTTTGTAACCATTGGATCAACTATCTCTGTCGATTACACGATAATCTAACGGTTATAAACCCGACATAATAGTTCCGTAATGTGACCATATCATTTTTCAATTAATCAATACATAAATAAATAAAATTAAGTTTGGCTAATGGCTAAAAGTTAAAACAGCTGGCCCCTCAAAATATATGGCAAAGATCTTTATAGGAAAAGACAATGTTATCTGTTTGGCAGGTATAACAACATACTTTTATTAAATTAATCTGAATACTTGAAAATTAAAATATCCTTTTTTTTTTGTACATATACATATATAAATTTATAATATTTCACAATAAATAAATAAATAAATAAATAAAATTTTAATTCTATTAAAAAAAATAATAAATTTATTTTTCCCTAGAAATTAAAAAGGTTACCTGGCTCTTCTGTTTTGAAACCAAACTTCCACCTGCCTGGGCCTAAGCTTCAACTCCCTTGCCAAATCCTGCTTTTGTTTCTGTTCAACAATTTTATTTTATTAAAAAAGAACAAAAAAAAAAAAGATAAATTAGCAAAAAGATAAGTAAAAATCAAAAAAATGGTGCACGCTACGTGTTTGTGAAAACTCCCAAGCGAAACACATACAGGATTGAGAGTACTGTGATGCTTGAAGCTTTCCTCCAAAAGCGCCGACTGAGCCTTACTCAGCCGGAGCTTTTTCCGACCGTTGGATCCATCATCGTCCTCATCGCTGACCCTAGACGAGATCGCTCTCTCCCTCTCCACCTCCTCGCTCCCCGGCTCCCTCTCTCTCTTCACGCTGCTCACGTTCGAGAAGGACGACGCCGCGCTGTCCTGCCGGTACAGGTCATCGTCGCCGGACTGATCTCTGCGGCGATCGGCGATCTTCCCGCGATTCTGATCGAAATCGGCGCTCTTCTTGGGCGGATCGAGTTCGAAGGTTTCGCCAGATAAGCTGAGCGTGAGCGAGGGCTCGATTTTGCAGAGGAATCCGAGCTTCAGTTGGGCGGGTGGATGAGCTGCTGGCTTCTCGGAATTGTGTTCTCCGGCCGACGACGACGGCGAGAATCCCAACCTCAGAGCCAGGCCGGTGTTGCACAGATCATCAAAGCCCATTTATGGTTTGGATTTTTGATTTATTTCTGGTTTTTCAGTTTTTGGGAGCAGTTGATATGGAGAATTGTGTATGAAGGGAAAAGGGCGAGTATATATTGAGAGAATTGTGTGTGTGTTTGTGTGTGTATTTGTAGTGGTGGATTGGATTGGTGGGTGGGCGGTTAGTATTCTATATGATTAATAATGATGATCAACAGAATTAATTAAGTATGAGAAGGAATTTTGCGTTTTTGCTACGAAGCCAACGGTTGGTTCCATAGTAGAGTCAACCTTCTATATACAACAAATAAATTTACTATATTTTTTGATTACTTAAATAACACTAATATAATTTTATTAATATGGTAGATTTCTTTGTTGTATTTAGAAAGTTGGCTCCACTATAGAGTTAACTGTTGGGTTCTTAGCAAAACCGAACAATTTTGGGTGAGGAAATATGCAGTGCTACTATCGTGTGCCCTTGTACACATAGCAAGGGTGTCAAGGCAATTACACATGTTCATTTTATTATGTAACATATTTATTTAAAAAAGTTTTGGCACACGTTGTTAGGTGTGCTAGAGTGCACGTAAGTATTTGTAGGAAAATGAGAAGAAGTCTTTTTTTTTTTTAATTTTTCTCTCTCACACCAGCCAGGTTGACCATTTTGAAACCCCACTTTACTGTTTATGTCACCAACTAATGATGACCAACTAAAAAAATTAAAAAATCTCCTATTTTTAGCCTTTACTTCCATAGAAAATCATTGTTTGTGTACAATTTTACTTGTTATTTTATTTTTTGATTTTTTTGTTTTGCAGAAGAGATTGAAAAATAATCGATTTTTTTTTTTTTTTTAAAGTTAGAAATGGGAGCCTCAAATAATCGAAAGTATAACCCTAAAACATAAGATTTGAAAAAATGACTATTGGAGTTTTTTTCAGGAAAATAAAATGTTGAAAATTTCGGTGAAAAATGCACAAAATTTTAAAAAAAATACTCGCACATATCAACTAATATTAACGACAAATATGAGTTCAAAACTTAAACTTGATAAAAAAATAAAAAAAATAAAAAAAATAAAACTTGATAAAGTAATATTATATCGGATACATAGAGATAACTCGGTTGAACTGGCCACAGGAAGCTCGATAAAGTAATATTATATCGGATACATAGAGATAACTCGGTTGAACTGGCCACAGGAAGCTCGATCTGGGGAATGAAGCCTAGCTCCACCGGTTAGTGGAAGAGTAGGAGGGCTTAAACAACTCGATCATTAGGGAGCTCAGATAGATTAGGAAGATCCACATCTCGGTCATTAAGCAGCTCAGACAACTTAGGGCATAAGAAGAATAACTTGGTCGTTAAGTAGCTCGGACAACTTAGGCAGAAGTATAACTAGGTCATTAAGGAGCTCAGACATGTGATAGTTTGGACGTGGTGGCACGGTAATTAGCTCGAAAAAGAATAGATTGGCCAGCATAGTAGTTTCGGTCCAAGTTATTAACAAGGGACACATGTAAGGTCATGAATAAAAGGGATAAGTAATCGGACGAGTAAGAATAGAGCCGAATAACTAGCAGGTAGACCTACAGGTAGCTTAGTAATCGATGGATGGCCCTTTTCGAGCAGATGAGGCAGTCGGGCAGGCATGCAGACAGTCAGAGCAGAGCAGAGCATAGGCTTGTTCAGGTAGCTAATAATCTTCTATAAATAGGTAGAATTGGGAAAAGGTAACGGTTAATCATATATTATACATTCTAAGCTTTCAGTATATTTCCATACAGCTTTCCATGTCACTTGAGTGACTTGATCGTCGGAGATTTAACGCCGGAAACATCTCATGGCATCTTTGCAGGTCTTCGGGAAGCAAAACGGTCGATGGATCATGGAGAGCTAGTTTGAGGTGCAATAGCACATCAATATAGATTAGAAGAGTACGAAACAGAGAATCACTACTAGAATATTAAATAATATTACTCTTTTATTTGTGTTGTTCATGATTATTAAGAAAATCATTTGTTACTTAATTAGTTTAATAAATCTCATAACATATTCCTTAAAATAAAGAAAAAAATTACATTTTGCCTACGTAACTGTCCGAAAATTTACACTTTGCCTATAAAACTTTTTTTTTTTCACACTTTGACTCCCTAGCATTGCTCTTTTCTATGCTTTGCCATTTTTTGTCACCGTCGGCCTCATAATCTAACACGTGGCTTTTGTACCTTATTGCCACGCGTGGACAGCAGTGATCGGAAGTGACAAAGCGTACAAAAAGCAAAGTTAGGTATGGCAAAGTAAAAAAAAAAAAAAAAATCAGGCCTCCTCGAGCTATGACGCGGAGGTTTGGGCGCTTCAGATCGGTCTTCAGATTGTTGCCTCGATCTCCTCTCACATTTGGATTGAGTTGGACGATGTCGCTGTCATCACCCTTTTGACCTCTGGCCATCAGGGCTCATGGAAGATTCAGCATCCTCTCATGCATATTAGAGTCACACTTCGGGCCATTCGCTATCGGATCTTGCATATCTTCCGCGAAGGGAACCGACTTGGTGACTTCCTTGCTTGCATCGGGACCTCCACCCCCCAGAGACACATTCTTCATCCTCACGACATTCCTCTCCGCCTTCGTACCCTTATACTGATGGGACCAAACGGGATACTCATCGTTCAGATTTGGGTAGTCGGTCCTATCTTTTGGTGCTTCTGCTATCTCGTGGTGCTGACTCTTCGCCTGGACTCTTCGCGGTCCAGGACGTGATCTTTTTGTATTATTTATTGTTGTTGTTTCTTTTTTCTTGTTTCTTTGTTTTCGTTTATTTAGTTTGTTGTATCTTGGACATTGGACTTGTAGACTTGTGACTATTCAGCCCATTTTCAGTCTTTTTTATATACAGATTTGGGGCCCGACCTTATTCCCCCACTCTTCCCAGGTGTTATCACTAAAAGAAAGTTTTGCACGCAAAATGTAAATTTTGCGATAGTTAGGTAGGCAAAGTGTATTATTTCCTAAAGCAAATACCATTATAAAATGGAAGTCAATAATTAAAATGCCAAAATAAATAAAGGAAGAACATAGGTTGGATTCACATGGAATTTGAATGGGGGAGGCACAATTAGAATGATTCTTGTGGCATTTAGCCACCCATTTAGCACGCCAAATTGTACTGTTTTTCACCACTAAATTGAATATGTCTCATTATTT